ACCATCTGTCATTCCTATCTAGTTGTGGAAATGTATCCACAACTGTACTTTGGTTTCAGAAGCAAGCAGCAGCTATACATTATACAATTAACACAGACCACAGAAAAAATGGCATATACCCACAAACCCACTAAGAATTTCGACCAAATGTGTCATTCCAAAGTATCTCAAAAGGAGTCACTTGAATAGAATAATTAAGAGTGGATTCTAAACATCTTAAGACTGCTCTCCTACCTAAAATACCTACTGATAAATAAGATAAATCATTTTCTTGAAAGCATGCCTTTGTAAATGCATTAACTGAGTATTCTACATTATTTGTATTATGTAATGCTATCCAAAAGATAAAGGCACAGAGGAAATAAAAATGAAGCATTATTCTCCATTGTTACGCTCAAACATCATTAGAAAATTCTTTTTGTCAGTTTATAATCTGGATTCTCAGCCACACAACAGAGGCGTACTAGTGCTTTGGGAGATTTCGGGTCTTTTAAATCATCTCTGACCAGGCTGATATTTTTTTAGTCAACACCCATCCTCAGTGTTTGAAAAACGTTTACATTTAACAGAATTAAGATATGTTTGGGGGGAAATGACAAAATCCCAGGTTGGCTTATAGCAAAAGTAGGGATAGAAAACGCTTCATAATTAGACCAGCTGTCTTTGAAAAGGTTCAGAGATCAAACCTGGTTAAGTCTCAACATTTTAAATATGTTAAGTCTAAACAGACAAATAGCTACAAAGTCAAGAATTATCCCCAACACCTTAGAAAAAGAGGTTACTTACATAATTTCACAAGACACTTAAATAGACTTTGTGGGATTTTATTTAGATCAAGTTCTTAGTACACAGCAACAATTAATTCCAAATACAGTTAAAAAAATTAAAAAGTGAATGTTCCCCCATTTATCTGGAGGTGGTTAAATGGCACGCACAAGGACATTACTGGCAACAAAACTGCTCCCTCCTTTTCCTGAATGGTTTTTGCTCAACACCACCAACTCTCCCTGTGGGAGCTAAAAAGTACAACTAGCCAGATCGCAAATCATTTACATTCTTTTGTAAACCATTTTAAGAAATATGGTACATGGACACAAAATATGATAAAAACTGCTTTCCATAGAATTCTGAAGTTGTAAAAGAGGTTTCATTTTAATGTGAAAATAAGCTTTTTTGTTCTTTTTCTTTTTTACAAAAAACCTTAAGGTATTTAGCAAGGATCGTTTTATACACAGCTAGGCCCTGTCATTTCATCTGTAATTTTTTTTTTTTTTAGAATTATGAGATTCTCAATAAAATAGGACCAAAACTCAGCATGAAGCAAACTTAAAGGTAATGAGCTCAATGCCTCCATTTAGTTAACTGTTTTATAAGGCTCTCTCAAATAAGGCGGTTTCCTGTGCTGTGCTCCTGCCAGTGTTGAATTAATGTACTTCTACTACACCTTATGGAAAAGTGTTTATACTGAATATAGTTTTAGAAGGGGTAAATGAAGATTATTTTCAGTAACTGACGCTGTATCTAGTATACTCCTTTAAATAACTTATGGCATTTATCAAAACATGGCATATCTTTTCAAGTATATTCCTAAAAACATCAAGTAGAACTCTTAATTTTAAAAGAAAAATACAGCACATTTAGTTAAGACAGTTGTGGTGCACTGGAAAGAGTACTGGGCACTGAGTTAGGAACTCTGCTGTTATTAAATAGCTGTTCATCTGAAACAAAAACATCTTACCTCATCAGTCAAATGAAACCACCAAAATTTTTAAAATCTCATCTAGCTCTAATATTCCATGACTCTTAAGTAAATCATCTAGAAGAAATTATCACCTTAACACCAATCAGGAGTTCTTAGCCAAGAAGTTCAGAAGTGAACAGATCCCTGTTCTTTCGAAAGACTTAGTAGTTGTTGCTAATTCCTCCACCAAACCCTTTTCAAAGGTAAAGGTGGCCTTCAGGACATGCCATGCTCTTTCCACAAAGGAGGAAAGATAATAAAAGACAAAAGAACACTGCTTAATACAGAAAGGTCACTTTCTAGAAGAAAATGAACGTAAGATAAAAGGCAACTACTTCCCTAACAGAAAAATCTTAAGTAATCAATATCTAGTGCTAAGGAGCACAGCTATGTGACACTCATCACTGCAAAGATGCATAAAACAATTCTCCTGCTGGGTAACAAACAGCAACAGGAGAAGGAAAAGCGGGGTTGAAAATGTCTCACACCCAATGACTTTTAGGAACATATAGCACAATTAGCAGGCCCTCACCATCCCTAAGGAACAGCAAGTGCCTCAGAGAGAAAGGAAGTAGCCAAAAGATGGAAAACATTAAACTAGACAGCTTAAAAGATTCATATTTATTTCAAACACAGCAGGCTGAATCTCTCAGGTCTAAAATGGCACTACTTCTGTTTCCAATTTACTGCCTTGGCCACAAGGTCAAAGACAACAAAGTGTAATTTCATTTATATTTTCCAAATATTAATACCAAAAAAAAAAAAAGAGAGACAGACAACTACTTAGTCACTTTGGGGGAGGGGGCGAATAAACAGGAGTGGAGACAGAAAGATTTGAGGAAGAAAGAATGCCCTTTCCCATTAGATTCCTCTATTCTGATAAAATGGTTGCTTACTGGTCAGCAGATTTTAGACTTGAATATCTTTGCTACAATATTAAGTTGCATGTAAGATTTTCTGCATTCATTTGGAATTCCTAATACCAATCGACTTTTAGTTTATAAAAAGATAAATGGGGGAAACTTACAATAAAATAGGAAATACTACCCTCACAGATTATTAATAGCATGCAATCTATGAAATATCACATACATTAAAAGTCTCCAATTACTATAGGCCTGGCCCATCATCATTACATAGTCCTTCCAAGACAATCTATAAAATTCAAAGCTGTACAAAAATTTAAAATATGCAGAAAATCCAACAGGTACTCTTCGTGAAAACAAAATACACACACATACTAAATAATATAGGAAAAAGATCAGCTGACCCATGGATTCTCCCTGCTGCAAGTCTTCAATATAAAGGACTTGACCAGTGTCTTCTGCACTCCCCAATCCAGCAGGGGTCCAACAGGTAAGCTGCAGTCCTGCTCACTGCCACCAACTCTGCTTTCTGTACAGTTGTCTTCTCTGCTTCTGTTGTGGTGAACTGTGGGAACTACTGGTTCAGTTCCAAAACACCCTCTGCCTTATTAATCCACTAAGCTATCAGCAAAAAGCTATAATAATTGGAACATTTAATTTTCAAATCAGTTTCCCTAGTTACACACCGGTACTATGAGGCTTCACCTATCCACATATAGTCTAGTTTGGGTCCATAATAGAACTAAAAGCTGAGAGGACACTGAGGGGCCTTTGAAGGAATATGGGATGTTAAGATGACCTAATAAAAACACAACATGGAATGTACTGGAGCCAAGTTACTGAAAGCTAAACCAAAAGTGCTGAGAACACCTCAAAGTGAAACAGCAAATCTTGTGATGTATTTTTTTTTTAAATTACAACTTAAGAAAAGTCTTAATAAGGAAATTATAGTGGGGTCTCAGTTAAAAGGAGACAAAGTTTTATGCCCAGATAGCAAATTTGCAAGTGGAATATGAACTTCCACTTCTACCTACAACCTATTGGAATTTCCTCATATATAACTATACTTGTTCCTTTTTCACATTCCTCTATCTCTACCACCCCATCATGTATCTGACTACTGCCTTTCCCCTTTACCTAGCACAGGGAAGTTACCTGGCAGAGCTCTATTCTGGCTGAGTCACAGACTAGGAGAGCCCACACTGGCAGCTCTGTGCCAGACAATGAGCTGGCCCATCCTTACAGCATGCACCCACTGAGACACAAGCCCTCCTGGACTTTGATTATTTCTTAAACTGATTTCCATTGTGATGATTAAAGCCATCTGTCCTGCAGACTCCACTGAATTTGAAGCTAGAATGATTCTACACATGGGAGAGAAATATTTTTTGTTATTGTTTCTCTCAATTATATTAGCATTTACCAATGTGGTGGTTGGGTAATTAAATATTTTAGTCTATTACTCTTATCCCACGATTAAATTCTTACTCTAAAATATAAGGTTCAAGTTCATACTAAAAGCAGCTATTTCAAAGTCAAATCAAAAACTTGGGAAAGTATTTACTTTTTCTAGAGTTGAGTAAATGACACAGCAGCAACTAACACTGGCCATAAATAACGTTCAGAGAGCACAGTAGCAAGCCTTTATCCCCAGGAACTATCAAGAGACTTGCAAATAACCACTCTTCCAAAAAAGAATAGTGTATTCCTTAATAATGAAAGAGGTGATAGTAATAGTTGGTCTGGCCTCCAAGATCCTACTCCTGAAAACACCACCCAAGGCAAGGGTTCAGGATGCCTGCTAAGGAGAATATTTCTACATTCAGTCTCTTTAGAACCTTAGGAGCCTTCACATCTGGCTCTGCACACCTACCTCAGCATATAACCAGCCTACCACACTTTACATATGGATACACTGGCCATCAGTGACAATGCAGTCTCATGCAGCAGCACATTAAATCAAACCGTGGCAATTGTTAACTATCCTTGGAATGTTGGGAGACTCACATTTCATCATTCTTATAATCTACAAACAGAAACATGAAAGGATGCGAGTTCAGCACTAACTCATTTGATGCACTCAAGTGCTCAAAGAATGCAGAATTTACAGTGTTAAAGACGGAAAAAGTCATCTGAAACAATTGTAAAAATGGTTACGTATGGTGTTTAAATATTGGTTCCCTCCTGGATGAAAGTGGAAGAAAGTGAGGGGCATGGGTACCCACTGGGCTGTAAGTGAATCCCTTAGCACAGGCAGTAAAGAACACCCACTGCCACACATTCTTCAGGAGGAGAAATCCCAAGGGTGCACGGTATTCCTGAGAAAGATCCCAGATTTTTCTGAATCAGTCCTAATCTGATTTGCTTTAGCTACATAATTATGTTGTTATACCTTTGACATATTCAGAAATGGTCACTTTATTTCCATCCAGACAGCTCAGCATAATACAAATGATGGCAGAAAGATCCATTTGTTCAGACTCAGCTTGCTTTTGTTTTAATAACTGGGGGGTAAATCAAAGAAAGTAAGTAATTTTTATCATTTTTATCCTTCATTTTATTTTACTGGAGTGGAATCTCCAGGGCCTTCAGATAATCTGGGAAGACCTGACTATTCCCATAAGGGAAGCACAGCCCTTCTGAGCTCTACTCAGAATAATGCATGATAGATTCAACATAATTCCCTGGAAAGAGCCCAGTCACTCCATTCATAACTCCCTCATACCAACCATCGTCATTCTTCTTGATGACATAAATAATGGCTCCTTCCTGAAAGGACAGCTCATCTTCTTTGTCTTTTGTATAGTCATAAATTGCCACAACTAGGGGGAAAAAACAAAACAGGATGTGAAAAGAGTAACATTCCTACAATTACAGAGCCAAATTAGTGGCTTCCCATCCTTTCTCAACTTCACCCAAACCTGATGATTTTCTAAACCCCAACCAAAATTTATAAATATTTCTTCTTTGTAATACCCAGTCCTATACAATGATATCTCATTTTCTAGGGCAATTAGGTTCTAAATTGAGAATAAACAGTAAGAAAACACATTTAGTCAAACTTACTCTTCAAAAGCGTATGGGAAAATGTCTTATTAAAGAGAAATACACATCCACGATCAAGATGATGGCTATTTTTTCATTTAGGCTTGTGTTGAGATATATTATGTAAAAAATTAAAAAAAAAAAATCTTTTCTTTAAACATTAGAACTAAAAACTATTAAGAAACAAGTATAATTGTGATGGATGTGTTACTTAGTTCAATGTAAGCATTTCACATTGTATATCAAAGCAGTACAATGAACTCCATAGATGCTTCAATGTTCAAAGTTATGATTTAATTAAAAAAATTTAAAATAAATAAACCTAAGAACTACATATTAAATGAGATACAGTGAGAGAGACAAGTAAGAAACAAAACAAAGGGAACAGCAATGTTATGTCTCCTTCCTCACTTTCTGGAACCCATGCCTATTCACTGAGCAGAAAGGTGGCTGAATCCCATGAATGATAGAAGTCACTATGTATATCCTTCCAAAACATGCTGCAGCAAGTCACCAATTTAATATAACAATAACAGACTAAAAGTGCTAAGAAAACCAAGATACTTACAAGTTCTCCTTGATTTTCACTGCTTAAATCACTTGGTAACAACTGGGCCCTTTCAATCATTGTTGCAAATAATCTATGCTTCCTAAGTATTACATCTATCTCAATAGTTTAATTATACTGGGATATCCTACGACTTGCTCAGATCCACTTCAAGAATTATCTTTTGTCCCAATCTCTTCATCCACTCCTGTATCTTTTTTATGCTGCTTAGAATTTCACTCAATAGAATTTCCTATCCACTGTCCTGAGATGTATATGCTGTCTTTGTTAGTTTCTCATGCAACCTTGTGCCTTACATAAGTAAATGAGAAAAAGAAAATACAATAGGGACTTTCAAAACTGCAATATGCCCAGTTAAAGAAAATCTGTGTTTCTGGCCTTCTTTAATAAAAACTAAACAGCTTTCTTAAACTGTGACTATTTTCCACTATAGTGATATATTAAGGATGCCAAGTAATATAGCTAGGATTATACTACTAGGGTCCTAGCTAGGAAGAATTCAGTGTCTATTTCTCAAAAGATAACAAAACGCCTAAACACGAATGTAATTAAATGATATACAAGTTCAACTCTAAATATGAAAGATACAAGTTAAAGTGGTTAGTATTTCTAGCCAACCTAATACTTTCTAGCATTTGTCTTTTAAAGGAAAGACAACATTCTCAATGCTTACAGAAACACAAACCTACTGAAAGGAAACTCAGAGATTATTAAGCTCTGTTTATAGTGGTGCAGAGCTTAGAGCTTTAACAATTGCTAAACATGTTTTGTTAAAATTAGTAACCATTATTATGATATTAACCACTTTTTTTAATCTAAAAAATCCACTGTTAAGAATACTCATTTTCATTCCAGAAAGAGATACAAACTAGTAGTTTATTTAATTCTTCGCCATAAAGCTATTCATCAAAAGGGAAACAGACCTGATTTAGTGCAAGATACTTTTATCAAGATAACTCTAAAAGAGGTATATGTTAAATGAGAATCTTACAGTTTCTACTAATATTCAAAATACTGATGCTGAGAAATGCAAAATCTGTCTAGATTGTATTTAGTATGAAAAAAATGGTTTTTGCAATAGTGAGGAAAGTATAATAATGTTTTCCAATTTATGTATCTATATCACATAGTATCAAAATCACATGAAGAATTTGAAAACCACATAGGAAAAAAAACTTTTAAAGAAAATGCTAAAGATTTGGTTTCTATATAATTACGAGTAAAACAGAGAAAGACTGGCTCGGCGCCTATAGCTCAACCGGCTAAGGTGCCAGCCACGTACACCTAAGGTGGTGGGTTCGAATCCCCAGCCCGGACCCGCCAAACAAC